GAGGATCTGCATCACTTCCTCAAGGTGTCTCATGTGCTCCTCCATTGATTTGTTGAAGATTAGTATGTCATCCAGATATACAACAACAAATCGGTTGATCTGATTGCGAAATACCTTATCCATGAGACTTTGAAAGGTGGTTGGCGCATTCGTGAGACCGAAGGGCATGACTGTAAATTCGTACAGCCCATCGCAATTTTTGAATGCAGTTTTATGTTGGTCTGCAGGATCGACTTCAATCTGGTGGTAGCCAGACTTGAGATCGATCTTGTTGGAGACCTTGCATCCACCTGCAGCATCAAGCAAATCATCGATAAGTGGCAAAGGATATGCATTATTTCTTGTGATTCGGTTCAATCCGCGGTAATCAATACACATCCGTAGTTTGCCTCCTTTCTTAGGGACAAACAGAACCGGTGCACCAAACTCAGATTCGCTTGGTTTGATCCATCCCTTCCCAATCATATCATCAATCTGCCTTCGCAACTCCTCCAATTCGCCTGAGCGCATCCGATAGACACAGCCCTTTGGAGGAGTGCTACCTTCAATCAACTCGATCTTGTGTCGGACCGGACGCACAGGGACTCCATGTGGTTCGGCCAAGACTTCTGGAAATCGGTTGAGAAGATTGCGAATTTCTGATGGGATTTCCGGAGGCGGATCATCACTCTCGGGTGCAAGCATACCAGATTGCATAGGTGCAGCCAACAAAACAGAATTGGAAGTGGAGTCATTTGGACTAGAAGTAGATTTAGTAGAGGTAGAAGTAGTTGCCTCAAAAGCAGAAACAGCATCCAAAGTAGAATCATTATGTATAGCAAAAATAGAAGGCACATGAGCAGGCCTAACAAAGGCTATATACATTTGCTCATCAACTTTGTGTCTGCGCCTGCGCCACTTTTTGCAGAATTGCATTGCATTGAGAAAAGTTACTTGGGATTCGCGGGGCTCATCCAAGAGAACTGGACGCTCGATTCCCATGGCATCTTTGACCATGAACTGTGAGTCCTTCCACGTGGTTCTTTCACATTGGGCTTGCAACCAGCCCAAGCCAATAACCGCGTCGAAGGGGCACTGATCAAGGACATAGAAGTTCAGCTCATGCGTGATTGTGCGGTCCGCGTCAAAGGTAGTGCGCACACCTTTGACTGCATGTGTAGAGGTGACAACCTCTTGGTTACCTACTCAGGTCCGACAAGGATTCTGCAAGGTCACTTGCTTCATCCCCAAGTGCGCCTTACGAATGTCGTGCGGTGAGAAGTAGTTGGCGGTTACACCACAATCAGCCAACGCACGAATGTAACGGCCATTAATGTAGAGTTTGAAGAAGATCAACTTCGTTCTCCCTTGCGCGCGTTCTTGCTTCATATGAGCCCAGCACGTCAACAGAGCATGGAAGTCAATTTCTTCCGACTCTACCCAAGGCTCCTTGTATAGGATGTGTATCTTCTCAGCCTTGGAATCAGCATCAGATGGGGTTTCAGGAGAGGTTTGCTGAGTGGGATCAGAATCCAGAGAAGGATTTGTACTTACATGTTCAGCCTCTCCATCTGTAGAGTGTGCTGATGATGTCTCTACCCCGTTGCTGGTTTCCTTGCTGCAATCTGAAACATTGTTCGACTGAGTGTCCCGCTTTGGTGCAGTGCAGGCAAACCCCTTTCTTCACCCTGCGTTTCCACTCACTTTCACTACTCCGGAGATCTACCCATGGTTTGGTGGCAGGATCTTCCGGTTTGGGTGGAATTTTCGCTCCCTTGGGAAGAAGAATGGTGTTAGTATTGTTCTTCATTGTGGTCCTCGGTCCCTTACTTTTAAAGGCAGTCTTTTTGAAGGCATGCATAGATTCATCGTCGTTCACATACTCAGACTCATGGGCTGACAAAGAGCAAGATGCCCCGCAGTCTTGCTCTTGATCGTCATCAAGAGAAGATTCCTCCATGAGGGTCTCCTCGTCTGCCTCAAGCAGATCGTGTGCTGCAAAACGGTTGCTGCCTGGAAACCGTTTGCGGTCGGTGGTCTTTTTGCCACTTGATCCACTCGGGGGGTCTTGTGCCTCCAGCTTGACTAAGTCTCGCATGAGGGTAAGCCAATCTGTATATGCACTAAGTCTGAGCCCTAGGCGATCTTTTATAGTAAAGGGGACCGTACCTTTTATCACATCCAGACAGGACGGCGCAGTCATTTCCAGATCCGGAGTAGCAAAGAGTTTGCTAACATACTGCTGCAGGTTGTGCATGGTGCCGGTCCACTTGCTGTGCTTGAGCTTGTCAAGCTTGAGTCTAGCCTTGGCTGCAGCATGTGGATCAGCATACTGTTTGATCAAGAGTTCTTCGAGTGTGGCTACCGGCGTAGCCTTCAGCCATTTGTTTAGGTATATCATTCATAGCCTGCTTGTACAGCTTGGATTTCCAAGAATCCTCTCACGGCGGGTTCCACATTGGTCCCTAGGACCAACGACTGAGTAACTGGGAGTGTCCCCAGCACATCGAAGTAGGATCGTATGGAGCTGATCCAAGATTCGATGTCGTCCTTTCCGTCATACTTAGACGGAATCTGGGCCGCCTTTCTATCCATATAGGAAAAGCTGCAGCTTGGACCAGCGGCTGCTGGGTCCGAACTCGGGACTGCAACAGTTCCAGAATGCCATGCACTGCTACTTGTCGTTGCAGCAGCAGCAGCAGCAGCGGCGGGGTCTGGACCTGCTGCAGATCCGGATAGGCTGTTGGCCATACTCAAAGAAGAAGAAGAAGAAGAAGAAGAAGAAGAAGAAGAAGAAGAAGAAGACACATTAAGAGGGGCAAGAACAGACTGGCACACATCACTAGAAGCAAGGTAAGTAGGCGGAAGGATACTTTGGGTTGGCTGTACATGAGCGAACTGTTGCAGCTGGTCACGGTGCTGCTGCGCCATCAAGGTCATGTCTTCTCGAACTTCTTGAGTTCGTCGAACACTTTGGCGAGTTGGCCAGCATAGTCCTCAACAGCCCGGACGTCTACCAAAGCCCGGAGGAGTGGAACGGTTTTCTCTTCCACCTCCTCATCGGTTAGGGCAGGCAAGATGCAGAAAATGGCTTCATGAGCCTTTACCTTCTCCTCCCTCTCCTTCTCCTTCTCCTCCTCTTCCCTCTTCAATGTTTTTTCGTAGAAGGATCGGTACTGCGCTTTTTCTGCCTCAGGGGCAGCGTCCATTTGCAGCTTCCAATCTGCTGCAGATGCCATGATGGAGGACGAGGGAGTCAATAAGTCTCTCAAGAGGGGTCCATACTTCTTTACTTGCCTGGGACGAACACTCCTCTTCCCTCTCCTCACTCCCTCAAGAACAACACTCAGAAGCTTCTCTCTTCTCTCTCTCTCTCTTGTTTGCGACTGTGTAGACGCAGGCATTAATGAACCCAATGAAAGAAACAGCTTGAAATCAGTCAGAAGAGAAGGTAGAACTCCTAGCCGGAGTGGCAATTCATTTGGACTGGAGAGCAGTCAAAACAAAAAAAGAAGATCAGAGAGATATGATCCAGCCACACAGTCTGGACCGACTACGTATGGGGTCCTCCCAAGCCTAGCCGGACTCAGCCCCGTGAAGACACAGCAAATCAGATTCAAAGTGTACAGCCTAATGCAAGAGAGAATTGAGTGGTGCCCAAGGTGCGAGTCAGGCGGCGGATCGTGCGGTAAAGTCTGATAAAACGTCTCAGCGGAGATCCCCTCCACAGCGAGTGTCCTGGTCCGAAAGCATAAAGTCAAAGTCCCAATCAGATAGAGCAAGGTTACTGACATCAACAGATTTGGCCTGAGGAGCCCTTCTTGTTTGGGCCTGGTCCAACTAAGTTCCAAATGGTCCCAGTGGAGTCAAAACCGATCCCAACCAACAAGAGTTCCACAAAGACCTACTATGTCCCTACCGAATTGAAAAACGAAATTTTGCCCCAGAAAGAACCTGTAAACTACAGCCGTTCAGGATGAAATAAACAAAGCACTGTAGAGACATATCACATGGCAAACAAGATACTCCATTCGTTCACTCGTCAGGTAAGTAGGCAGTTCACACACCTCACACACAATCAAGACTATGGAGGATGGAAGAAGAACCCAGAGAACCCCAACAGGCAGTCAATTCCATGCACACACACATGGGCACCCTGGTGGCACGGCACTTACCAGAGTGGCCGGGCTCTTGAGATGAGAAGAACTCACCCCCCCTCTCACACAGTCCTCCTGACCCAATTAGCATCCTCTACACTAGTGTCCTATCATCTAGGAGGGTCAACATCTACCCCAAAATACAAAGTCGGATCCCCCGTCGATGTTGAAGATCAAAGCAGCAACTTGCAGTCCGTAGGTACAGATATGACTGCCACCCTCAAGCTCGCCTACTTGAGGGGAGCCCTAAAGTCACTCCTCGTCTTCCTTGAAGTCCAGATTCAAGTTGTAGGTTCCCTTCACTGTCGCTTCTCTCAAATTGCATCACGAAGTCCCACCTTGTGTCTCGCCACCACAAACATGCACTCAAACAACTTGGCCGGGTCTAGTGTCGACCCTACACGGCCCTGCCAGGTGGGAGCAGCTTCCCTTCACCACGCTGCCCCACTTAACCCTAACTTCCAGCCCTAACCCTAAGTGGTTAGCCCTTACCACTAGGGTTAGGGTTATGGCAGCAAAGTCAACTCTCGCCTACAAGTAGAATCCACTCTGATACCAATGTTACGATCCTGGCCAAATTCGAAGTATACATTCATCTGAAAGTACAATGCCATCCAATTGCAACAAGAAATGAATGGACTTGAGAGGAAAGAGACGGAAAGAAGAAGAATAAGAAGTGAGAAAGAAGAAGATGATGATGTACTCCAGCATAGACCAATGTCAAGGCTCTTCTTCTTCTCCAACCAATCCCTTCATCCTTATCTCCTCCCTCTTATTCAAACAAGAAATAACAATAATAATGTTGAATGACTGAACCAGAATCAATGTCTGAATCCCACTTCTACTGCAGGCAAAACATGAGGTCTACCATAGACATGGCAACCCTTCCTCTTCCTCTACATACAAGCCGAGGCTATGGCGGACTACTAAGGCTTCAGCCTCCTGTCCAAAGGACAACCCAAAGCAGCTATGTCGCTGCCCCACTTCAAGGTCATCACCAAGCAGCTATGCCGCTGCCCACTCAACCGCCATGCCTGACTCTGCCTCGAGTTTCCTTGATGTGGCACTACCCCCACTGGGGCCATAGCCAGGTAAGTAACCCACCACTCTCCTCCTTGGTCCCCTTCTCCCTCCTACTCCTACCGGTAGAGCTCCACCATAGCCAAGGTGGAAGCTCCCGGCTTCTTCCTCCCAGCAGCGTTGTGGTACCCAGCGCTACTCCAGCCAGCGCTCCAGCAGCGCGCCAAACTTGCACACTGAAGAATGAGGCTGGGCTCTTCGCCCGACCTCTTGATATAGCGGCCTACTTGCCTCCTGGGCGGTGACTTCCAGGCCGCTCGGCCTCCCCAAGCAACCGGTACTTCCTTCGTTTCGGAGGGAAACATCATTGCAGACCCTGATATTACCGGTACAGGCTCTAGACTCAGACTGGTTGGACTGGTACCGGCCTAGACCTACCCTACCGCTACTGGACTCTAAAAATGCCAACTTTGTCTTCTTCTGCACGGCCTCCAGTACCCCCTCACGCCAACTACAGTGGGGTGCAATATCGGCCTACCTGCCCACTTGAGTGTTTTTCCGCTACCCCAAGGGCCGCGGGGCCGCTAGCTTCGCCACTTGAGTGTTTTTCCCTGATACAACCCTCAATGCCACGGCCACAGGTAAGTACCGGCCCTACGGGCCTGCCAAACAAGCAAGTACCCTTGCGGGTCACACACACACTCATACCGACGAGCACTCAGACAAGCACGCAGGTCACAAGCACGCACACACAGTCAGACTTAGAAAACACAGCGGAATGTGGGAATCTCAGCAAGGCATCCATTCCATCGGCAGAACTTCATAAATCAGCAGTGTTCTCGATCTGTGTTTTGACGGGTCATTACAAAATACTTTAATTGGACTGTTATTCTAAGTGAGGATTTCCAGTCACAAATAGGTTAATCCAATCTAACTTAGAAGATATTTATTGTAGTAGAATGAAAGTTTAATTAAAACATTTCATAAACTCGTCCAGACGTCCATTCCATCTTGAACAAATAGATATAGTTGGAAGGGAAAGCTCATATTTAGACGGGAACTTATCACATGAAACTTGAAATTTTAGAATTGGACGAACATTGGAATGATAATTTATAAATATGAAGATTTTTTTTTTTATGGATTTTTTTTTCAACTTCCATTTCTCGTGGGAATTTTTCTGTTGACCACAGATCCCAGGTCCGACCTAGGACTCCACCCCACTTTCGAAAAATCCTTGGTTGTTGCAAACCGTAATGGTGCACACCAAAACAAGAACCGACCTCTCTCACATAGTACAGGATAGCGCAGCGGAAGGCTAAAATATCAATGATCAGACCAACCAATGTCGCAATGCAAACCAAACATACATCGTCATCATCACACGGTGTGAAAGGGTTTGGCGCTTCACACAGGAAGAATGCGCCAGGCTCAGATCATACACAGATGAAGAGGAGGGGGATCAAACGAAGAAGAGGGGGAAGATGGGAATGTCGTCACACGAATGTCGTTGATATCGATTCCAAATAGTCCCCCATCGATGTCTCTATCCCAAAGTCGAGTCTGTATCCAAATGTCGTCAACCCCAAAGTCACAAATCTCTCTCTCTCTCTCTCTCTCTCTCTCTCTCTCTCTCTCTCTCTCTCTCTCTCTCTCT